CACACACACACACACACACACACACACACACACACACACACACACACACACACAAAACATTTTTTCCCGAATCATTAATTTATTTAACGAAAGCATTCCAAATAGTCAAATATATCAAAAACAGATACTTTTGTAAAATGCTTGCTTACAAATTTTCGTCGATAAAATGTCCAACAGAATGATAGATTGACTGCAGAAATCGAACAGAATCTGCCATTTAAATAAATAGCATTATAAAACAAAAAATTCTACTCGGTTTTTGCTGTTACATCACTAGCAGAACACAAGCTTAATACAATTGACACCTTAATACAATTGACACCTTAATACAATTGACCGATCTGCTTCTGCTCGAATTTGTTGACAAACTGCTAACACGCTGCTAATATTTTATTCACTAGGACGTCGAAAATTTGCAGTATATCAAATCAAAATGTTTCAGGGTCAATATGGACTGATTTTAAGCCACAGATGGAGAATATGAATGTGAATGAGCTAACCATAGTAGCATGGGATCCACCTGGTTACGGAAAGTCGCGACCACCGGACAGGACGTTCCCGAATGATTTTTATCAACGCGATGCCACGTGGGCTTATAATTTAATGAAAACTCTCGGCTATTCGAAATTTTCTTTGATCGGCTGGAGTGACGGTGGCATCACGTCGCTTCTACTGGCCTCGGCGTATCCCGATAGCGTCTACAGGATGGTTGTTTTTGGCGCAAACGCATACATACACCCGAATGAGATAAAAATATACGAAAGTATGACTTCATTCTGCTCGTGATGTCGTAGATTGATATTCATAGCTCGTTTTTATCTTAAGGTCATCTTAAGTAATGTTTTGAGATGCTAATACAATCTTCTAATTGATTTATGACATTTTATGATTAGACTTAAGATGGTCTCAAATATAAGAATCAATCATAAATACTGACCTATAATTAGCTTATGACAGCACTTAAGTATACACTGAAAAAAAATTATTGTTTCAAAAAATATTGGTTTTGCAAACTAAATGAAGAGCAAATATTTATTAATTCAAACAATAAATGTTGATATAACTCACGTATATATTTAAATATATCAATATTTAAATTGTAAATAATTACTATACAAACTAAACGCTAAAATTTAATCAAGTATAACTTTTTTTCTCGGTGTAAGAACTGACGGTAAATGTAAGAATTGATGTGAATATCGATCATTTAGCCAGAAGGAACGCTCTTTTTTAGCAATAACTTGTCGAAATTTTGTTATTTATAAAAAAACATTAAAAGTTGAAAAAATTGTGAGAATCCATAAATTTGTTGGAATTCATAAAAAGTCACAAAAGTTTTTATAGTAATAAATCTGTAATTAAATTTTACAGATACAGGCGAAACATTTTGCTATCGCATGATTGAAAGTGCATTAAACATTTCTTTTATTCGCGTAATTCTTCATGAAATATTACTTTCCAGGCATTAGAGACATCAACAAGTGGTCAGAAAAAATGAGAACATCTATGATACAAATTTATGGTGAGGATTATTTCCAAAAGATGTGGTCGGATTGGATAGACGCTGTGCTGAGATTATACGAAAAACAAAACGGTGACCTGTGCAAACAGGTTTTACCGAAGATAAAATGCCCGACTTTAATCATTCACGGAACCAAAGACGCGATAGTTCTGCCAGAACATCCAACGTATCTGAAACAAAATATTGCCAACTCGAAGTTTGTATCTTTACAGATTTGAAACAAACAAGGTATACACTATTCTTTTACTAATTTCTTTTATATTACAGACTACATATTTTCGAAAAGGGCGCACATAATCTTCACTTAAGGTATTCCGAAGAATTTAATAATTTAGTTACGAATTTCCTTGTCAATCGAAAATAAGATAATTATTATAATATTGGGTTGTTCGGAAAGTTCGTGTCGCAAAAGATTTAAATTTAATAAATGAAATTAAAAATCTTCTGCGTTTCAATTTTCCTTCAAAATTGGCACGAACTTTCCGAACAACCCAATATATATTATATATAGATATATAGATATTTTAAGCGTTACAATTACACGGAAAGAAATGATTTTGCTGATGTATCTAGAAATTTAGCTAGATAAATCTGAAAATATTTTTGTTTTTTATACCATAAAAATAATTATATAGGAATCTCAAGTATGATTGACTGCAAAAAATTTGGATATTCAGTTTGGACGTTCTGTACAATAATTTTGATGGTCTAAAAAATTATTTTTAGACCTGTTTAGCTAAATAATACTTCAACAAAATTATTCTTTCATATACGTTCAAAATACGTTTAACAAACATATTTATTAGAAATCAAAATGAAAAATAAATCTTTAAAATTTGAAATTTTTTTAAAACTATATTTAATAAATTATGAATTTTGTTTAATAAATTATGAAAACATTTATAAGACGTTTGTAATGTCTATTGAACATTTTCTTTTTACTAGTTTAATATATCGTCTTTATATGAGATATTTCGGTTTAATAAATATGTGTTTCACATTTTTATACATAAAAAACATTTTAGCTAAACATTTTTTAAACGCACATAAATTGTATATATATATATATATATATATAATGGTAATATCATGTGTGGTGGCACTTTATTATATATTGTAATATGTCATTTTATAATAAGATTTTTTATTAAAATTATATTAATGAACTCTCTTTATTTCGTCATTTCCTTTACAATTGTTATACCAGGTCATTTTTTATCTTCTCCAGATTTGATTCAACATCCTGTGTAAATCATATCTGATCGAAAGTAGAAATTTACATTCGTCATTATATATAAATCGGATAATTTGTACATCCTTCGTATATCTATTTGAATAACAAGCGTACTTACATATCGATCAATTCAAAATAGTTTAAGTATATATATAAAGACTTGAATTCACGAGTATTATATAGTATTGAAAAAATATTCAAATAACGCAAATGCTATTTAGTTATTTAAGTTATTTAAATATTCACATACAAATGCTGCATCATATTAAATGATTCAGTTATTGCATAACATAGACAAAGACACAATTATTATTCTCTTACATGTATGCTGCGTAAAATCATATATTAACTGTGTCAAATTATTCGATATATGTGACATTTAATCTTGAATTGTATATTCTCTAAACACACAGTGCTGCTTACAGTAATACATCCGCATTTAACTTTAACTAAATACATGATATCAATAACGAAGAAATATATCGATGTTATCTTAATTATATGTGCTTTTACAAAATATTTAATGAAACAATAATTTACTTTTAATATATTATAATCATTTTAATATCTTATGCTCCTGACAATCCAGTTGACAGTTAATTAAATCATCATTGAATAATTACATATATAATTATTCAATACGTATAATTTTATTTGTAATCATATCGGAGTTATAGAACAAATATAAATAAATATAAAATAAGATAATTTATAATTCTTTAAATAACGTCTATTCTAATTTATTTTATGTTATACCAGAAAACAAGTCTTAATCAATCTATGGATCTTCTGCTGGCGCTTGCAGCGTGCCGTATTCGAGATATGTACCAAGAAATCCTTCGCACATAGATAGAAAGCGGTCTTGTGCCACTTATTATACAAGTGTCTTTATATCCAAAGAGAGCCGAGCGCGCATGGCGCTTTTTCGTCGTTCGACTTATCTGACGATTGAACGCGACCATATATTGAACAGAGATTGATCAAACAGCAACCTAAGTAACACAACTAAGTTAACATCAAAATGATGTCGTTTTAACGTCATTTTGATGTTATCGTGACTTAAAGTTGTGTTACTTGAGAATATGCAACTCCAAATAGTGCTGTATAGGGGATCCCTAATTCAGTATCGAAACTGGAAATAATGCGTACCATATATTACATATATTTTATTTATTTACTCCAATTAGTTTGTTTTATATTGATTTCAAATTTTAATGTTTAAAGAAGTTTTGTTTTATATTCATTTTATTTATTTCAGATTTTATTTCTAATTAAAGAAATGTCTCTCATTTAGAAAATCGAAGATAAAAGAAAAGATTAATATTTGATTTATAAAAATTTCAAATTAAAATGCTATTATTTTTCTTAATATGTTAATAGTGAATACTTCATATATTTTAAATTATAGTACATATATTTTAAAATAGAAAATATAGTCTTGAGCTTTTCATGCCAATCATTTCGATGAAGAGATAATCCGAAGTTCAATTTTCTCTTGTTCCTTTCCATTTCGGAAATTGATAGAAGTAACCTTACAGAAATTTAGCAGGATTGGGAATTTACGCGTTACTTTATAAAAGGGTGAAAATAGTAGAAATTTTACATAAAAGGGTAGAAATATGATAATCTGAATGAAGAATGATATTTGAGTGCATACAAAACCTGAGAGAATGAAAAAGAGACAAGCATACAATTTGTAAGATCTATTTTAAATACGAAGTTACATCAAATTGAGGAAAAAATCTATAATTTTTAAAGCTACTTTAAGATGTAAGATCTGAAATTTTTAATGTCTAACTTTGGACTTAATGCTATTTGGGAACGTCTACACATAAAAAATATATATAAAATTATAGATTTTTAGCGCTGGCAATGAATTTTTTGGAAATTGAACAACGGCCTACCTCTGCTCTCATTATTTTTTTTCTCACAGATTGATATCTGATCAGTGAACTAATAAACAGGTTTGTAGTTTTTTAACAAATTGCAATCTCTGTGTTATGAGATAATTCACGGATTATGCGACAGTCTTGAAAAACAACGAGGTCATGTCATCCCGTCCTGATAAAAATTTACGAAAGGCAGTATATATAAATCGCAGACAGGCTCGCCGACGCAATATAGGTGCGGGCGATCGAAGGAAAGCAATAAAAAGACGCGGAATATAAACTGCATGCGGGTGTAGCCAAATATGGGCAAGTGGTTTCTCGCTCTTCGATCAAGTAAACCACTGTCCTTTTTTTTTGTCTTTCGCAAATTCCCTCGCTTCTTCCTCCCTGCCTCTTTCGTAAAATGGAAGAGGAAAAGAGCATCGGGATCCACGCCTTATGAAAACCTTATGCACAGTCTTTAATCTCAAGAACCATAACGATAAAACAAACTGAGCCCCGTCTCGTTTCCCGTAAGTACCGTATGAAAGTTGTTAAGCTTCAGACATACACGATAAATTAATCGCTCGGATTTCGGGTTATCTTGTGATACTCTCGCACGTGGGCGAAGCAATTGAGTCACAAATATCAATTTTAATGTATCTTTTAATGTCCAATAATTTATATCAGTAAACTAATATATTTTGCAATAATAATTCAAATCGTTGCAATAATGATTCAATAATTTCAATAATAATAAATAATAAAATAATTTTGGAATTTACAATCATAAATACTTTCGGAGTGCGTATATTGATTTGTATTTATATTTTTGACTTGTGGATTAATTCTAAGTAGAATCGTAAGGCTCGTAATTTGTTCTCGTAAGATTTGTAAGAATTTATGATTGCAATGAAGTTGCAATTTTATGAGTACCATAAGACGTACGATCATTTATAAATATATCAATACGATTTCTCGTAATCTTAACGACTAGCAAAAACTAGCAAAAAACTGTAAAGATATTGCAAAGTTGTATGTTGCATAAGTTTATATATTGCAAAGTTATAAAGCATTCCAGACATAACTGTCATTATTTCTTACAAGTTTTACGAAAACAAGTTTTCGTAAGACAAGAAAACACGAACCTTACAAGTCTGCTTAGAATTAATTTATAAATTTAACTTCTAATTGTAAGTTAATTCTTAGCTTACAATTAGGATTCTCGACAATATTAAAGGTTTCGAGAACAAATTACGAGCCTCCTATAATTCTGAATTTGGATTGTCCCATGATGCATTCTACCAACGTGGCAGTGTACAAAAGTGACTAACGAGATCTCCTTGTACGGCCCACACATCTCGTTTTAAGCGAATATTCTCAGCGCAACTCCTGGCTCTCGATCCTTTCTTTATTAAGTGGGGTACCTTTATTGACTTTAAATGGCATCAAAATGGTACTGACGCGAGGCATTATGTAATAGCGATCGAATAACGATCGTAATACATAATTACTGCGACATTAAATCCAAGAGATAAATTGTAATGAGAAATAAAATAAGCGAGAAATAATTGAGAATCTAATTTTAACTCCTATAATTATATGTATGTATAACAAAATAATGGACTTTGTTATAAGTTGGAGACATTTATAATGTCACTTATTTGTGTTAATCACACATAATTCAATTTACTGTATAAAATACGATTAATTTATACTTTAATTGTAGATAAGTTCCTAAATGTGACGTCTTGCTATTTCTCTTTTAATAAATATCCAGATCAACAAAAATCCACTACCTTTTGTCTTAAGGCGATCGATGTAATGGAAAACGAAACCATTTACGGCGACCATGTGGATGTTGCTGTTCGTTTTCGAACCCGAGTATCGTTTTTTTCTCACGAGAAAGTAGCTGTATGTCAATCTTGGTCTGAATATAAACGAGATGAAGTTTCCAGAAATGCAGCAGCGGCGAGTCGCGCGATTTCGCCGTGGACTGTAACAAGTGACACAAAAACATTCCGTTATACTTGATTCTTCCTATTGTATATACAAAAAGAGCTGACTGATACAAACGACTTTTACTGCCATCCCTGAACTGTACAAAGTTTGGTCAACGCCCATTCATGTATCAGTTTTGAAAAAATATCTTCTTCTTATCTCCAAAAAGGATCTTATCTTCTACTAGTGTCTAAATTTTGACGTCCAACAAACGGCAGGTTATTATGATTCTTAAACTCAAATATTCATTTAAGGGTGAAA